CCTTTGAAGGAAGAAGTCGCCTGGTGGGACAATTCACAGCCCCCGGTCTCTCCCAGGTCTCCTCAGACCTGCCTTCCTGGCTTCAGGTGGCTCTCCAAAACACCTGTGCTCTGAGGCCGGGGAGAGGATCAGCCCTCGAACTTAGCAGGGAGCCCTATACAATTGGCCGGAGGTCCTCCTGGGTTTCCTGATCCCGGGGTCTTACCCACCTCCCCAGGGTGGAGCCCCAGGCTAAGGTAGCCGGGCCTTCACATTCTCCTGCTACCCAGGAAGAAAGGGTGACAAGGAATGTGGGGGCCAGGCTCCGATCAAGCTGCCCAGTTACCTCAAAACCTTCATCACACTAAGAAATGGCCAGGAAGGACTGGAGTTAAGAGCACTGCTACTCTTACAGAGGACCTGGGTTCGATTCCCAGAACTCACGTGATGGCTTACAACCGTCTGTAACTCTAGGTCTAAGGAATCCGGTGCCCATTTCTGGCTTCGATGGACACCGGGCATGCATGTGGTACACACATGCAAGCAAAATACCCATACGCATAAAATGAAATAAAAAATGACCATGGGCCCCTGATGGAAGAAGCCACCATCCCCCTTACCACGATGTACAGTCAACCCTCCTAGAGGCTGGAGGACAGAGGAAAAGATGCCCCTGGTGTCAACCACCAATGTAAGCAAGCAGTGGGTAGCAGGCCCCGGTCAGCCAAGCTTACAAAAGACTTAGGCAGGCAGAGCCATCTGCACGCTCACCCATAAGACTGCTACCGCGCGCCCATTCTCTTCATGCTCCCTGTCTCACCCTGCACTGCAGAGTTCCACCCCAATCACCTTCTCTACCCCAGTATTTAACGGCCACTGTCCAGGCTACAAGACTCTTGCTGCCCCCTGCTGTCCACACTGGGCATTGCCACTGAGTGTTCACTGTTGGGACCCCAACCTGTGTTTAGCCCTTCCTGCCAGCTCTGCACCCCCACTCCCTGCCACCTGCTGCCCTGCTGCCCACTCCTCTGCGCTCCTGACACCTTCCAGCCTGTCTCAGTCACTCTCCTCAAACCTGCCTGACACAGGAGAGCTGTCTCTCTCATTCCAAGGGCACCAGAGGGCTTGGCAGCTGCCCCATGCTCCGCTGACAGAGTGGAAGGTTAACGGGTGTTGAACGGCAGAATGCCACTGAGGAATCTGGCTGCCTGACCCACTACCCCGCCTGCCTTCCTGTGCAAGACCAAAGTCAGAGAAGTCCTAGCCAGTGCCCTGCACCCATCAGGAGGATGAGCCCATCAGGGACCCATCCCCACAAAACTGTCCATCCCGGGGCATTATAAGGCAGCTCATTGCCGAGATATTGGCCTCAGGCGACATCCCTCCTCCTTATCACTCACCAAGGCTGGTCCAGAGAGAAGCTGTGAGCTCCATGCCTGTCTCTGTGGGCACAGAGGGCAAGAGGCCCCAGGACAAGACCCACTTCAACCATACCTGCTCAGAGGTGACAAGCTGTCCTGAATGCTTGCTTCAGACTCAGAAAACAGTTCTCCTCCCTAGGCAGAAAGGGCTAAGGATCTACAAACCCCACCCCTTTAGCCAGACACGGTGTTCCAGGGACTCCTCCAAGGGTTCTTGTTCCTACTCTGCAGCCCAGGGCATCACTATTGCCATCTGCCAGGCAGGAGAGCCACCCAGCAGCTCATTCAGCTAGAGAGAGTCTGGAAGGAAGCCGGAGTTGTGCCTGATAAGTGAGATCCATCCTGCCTTGTTCACTTTCCTGCTGGTCCCAGAGGCCGCCTATCCATTACTCTAAGACCTCACTCAAGGTGACTTGGCTCTGGTGCCCCCATGTGGCAGAATCCAGCTGCTCGGGACCACCATGCAGCGCTGGCACTGTGCTGGCCTGAGACACCCTGAGGGCTCTCATGCCCCTTCTCTGTCTCCTGTGCACATTGCCTTATGATGTGCATAAGATGTGCATATGATGCGCACACAGACCTCCCTTCAAGCTTCCACAGCTTCTCCCACCAAAGCTTTCCAGGAACTCCTGGGCCTGCCTCAAATCATCTCTATGGCTTTTTTTTTTTTTTTTTAACCACTAGAAATATATTTTTTTAATTGTGGTTTTTGGCTGAGTGTGGTGCTAATCTCAGCACTCAGGAGGCAGAGACAGGCAGATTTCTGTGAGTTCGAGGCCAACCTGGTCTACAGAGTGAGTTCCAGAACTATACAGAGAAACCCTATCTTGAAAAAAATAATAAAATAAAATCAGGGTTTCATGTAGCTCCGGCTGACCTAGAATTTACTATGTAGCCAAGGATTACAATAAACTTCTAATCTTCCTACTGCATCATGACACCTTGTCTCAAAGAAGAAGAGGGGGAGGAGAACAGTTGTTCCCAGAGATGGGTTGGATAAGAGGAAGTATGGGGTTATATCTTCAAAAGACACAGGAAATAGAATGATGGTGGATAGGAAAAGTACATTTAAAAGGTCTATTGTAAAACATG